AGACACAGAAATGCTGTCAGCCCCTCTCCTGGCAGCGGCTTCTCTGCACACTCTGGGGTCCTGTTTAATTCTTCTGCCCCGCCCCTGCCCTGCCCACTTATCTCTTGGGCACTCCTTCAGACTCTGGGACCTTAACCTGCTCCCTGTACCCTCCTAACCGGCTTCAGAGTGACTTCCAGGCCCCACCTGATGTTGCCATTCCCATGCCTGAGGGTCGGTCCCCTTGCTAAGCAAACCGTCCAGAGCCATCAGCTACCACCAGCTAGCATTTAGACGGAGAAAAAAGCCACAGAAAGCGTGCGCAGGAGTGCCAGCGTGAGTTTGTGTGTGAGCATGTGTGTACTTATGAGTATGTAGGTGTGTGTTGAGAGACTGAATATATAAAAGGACAATGGCCAGACCATATATACATAAAAACAGAACTCTGACCCATGATCCGCAGCAGACAACCCAGGAAGCCAGCCTGCTGTCAATCAAACTTCTAGGAAGTCAGACCTGATCTCTAGCAACTGGTCCAGGAAGCTGAACAAGAATCCTCGTAACAATGGGCCCTGCTCCCCCACTGCCCCCCCCCCCCCCCCCCCGACTGCTTCCTATTTAGGAGAAGCAAATTTGCACCCCTGAGCAATCCTAGAACGATAACCAGAACTCTCCTCCAGCTCCCCATGCCAACCCCTCCCGTCAGGGCACACCTGAGCCTCCCCTTTTTCCGCTGCAGAGCTTTCCCTCTCTGCAAAACGCGAGTGATGGCGGCAGCTGTCTCCTCCTTACAGCAAGCTCGCATAAACCGCCTTTGCTTGTTCTCATTTGGTTCCTCTTCATGTATTTCTCCAGTGTGCCTGAGTGTGTGTACATGTGTGAGTGTGTCTGAGTGCGTGTGCCTGTCCCTGCACAGTGGGAATTGCACAGTCGGGGGCTCAAGGGCAATGCCGAGGGGGAGCCTGCACTGGCTTTAAGATCTCATTGTCTCTGGAAAAGTCTCTCCTCTATCAGGGCTGAAGGGGAGGGAGGGGAGAACGGGGGTGGGGGGGGAGGGAAGGGAGGAGGAACTGGATGAGAGTCACTTCTGTCATACAGAGAGTTGACTGTAAAAGCCAGACTTGTGTAAAGTAATAGAGCCTGCAGAACCAGTAACTGGCTTCTCCTCCTGCCCTCCTGAGCATGACGAGGCCTCAGGGCATTTCCTAGGCTCCATACTCCATCCCCTCCCTTCCTCCTTTCACTGCGGAAAGCCAGTGGCACGCACCAAGCTGCCATCACCCCTGCCTGTGCGCCTGCCATTCGCTCTGCAGGCTTCCCCTGGCGCCTCGTGGTTGTGACTGGGGCCCCGACTTCCTGCTAGGAGTGTATCGGGATTTAATCTGAGGCCAGGCAGCCACTTGCCAAATTAATGGTTGGTAAAATTAGAACAAACAGAGGTAAATAGCCCTTTACCTAGCACACAGCGTCTCTGTGATTTTAACAACAGCAACGAGATCACCGAGGTGCTACAATTTTCTGATCAATGATGGTAATTTTCTTCCCCTTAAGATCAGCTTAACCATGCTAAGGGTCTCAGAGAGCTCAGGGGTCAAAAGAAAATTACACGGTTGTGCAGGATTTCTCTGCAGCCGAGGTTTATTTTGCACATCACTCTGACGCTACTCAGAAGCAAGGCCCGGCACACTTGTGGAAAGGGTGAGGAATGGTCTGGCCACACGGCTGGGCTCCACTGAGGACTGTAGGGTAAGCCAGTCTGTGGTCCAGCTATAGATCCCTACTCTGCAAACTTCCAGCAAGGTGCGGTGTTAAAATCGAAGAAACCAAGGCTGACACCTCACCCTTGCCAAACATGTGCCTCTAGCCTGAAATCCAACAACAGCCACAATAGGGCATAAATGGCAACGTGAAGGGAATTTCCAAGCCATGGGCCTTCTCCCTTGCATGCATGTGTCGCAGCTGGAGAAATGTGTACTAGTACAGGCATAACTGCCAACCAGTCTCAGAGCCGGAGGGTCTCCGAGCCAGTGGGCTGTTGACATGCTCAGTGAGAGTTCCATTAATAGCTCTTTCCCTATGGTTTTCAAATCTATCATCCAGTTTTGAACTCGTCTATTTTCTTCCGCTGTATATTCTATATTGTCGCCTAAGGTGCAAAAGCATATTATACCAGGAGTTGACCTGATTGCCAGTTAACAACATTAAAGTGCATATTTAAATCCATTAACAAACTGATCATTACATGAATCACCAACCTATTTCTTGTGGATGAGAACTGAGAGAAATGGTGACTAATGACATTCAAAAGCAGCAAGGCACTAAACAAAAAATTAATGGCTATGTCAGGGGCTGAGGAATTCCAGTCACCTCGTATGTGTATGCCAACCAGACCACTGAAGATGAAACCTTCCGGAAGGTGGTGACTCGTGGTGACTCATGGTGACCAGCAGGCAAGGGGTTGGAGATGAGATGGGTATCTGATGCCTCTCCCTATCTGCTGGTCCATCTTGACACCATCACAAACACAGTTACAAAACTGCATTCTGTAGGGCCTAGGCCCTAAACCTAAACCAAGGGCAGGACTTCAACCAAAACACAAAAACCCAACACACTCTAATCTCTCCTACATCTGGTCTAAACAGATACCTTCATCCTGCATTGTTTCAATTGAGTAGGATTTCCACCCCATTCTAATGCATCTCAGGCCTATTTTGCTTGCTGTTAGCAACCTCTGAGGAATCTATTTGTCACGAGAGATGGAAGAAAGTGAAATGCAGATTCCCCACCCCCACCCCAGAGCATATTCTGCTTTGGAAATGGGCTCTTTATTTAAAAGATCTTTCTCTCTTACCATCAAACCATCTACCAAACCCTTTGGTAGTTTCCCAAAGGAGTTGAAAACTTCTGTCCACACAAATACTTTCACATGAATGTTTACAGCATCTTTATTTATAATTGCCAACATTTGGAAGCAGACAAGATGTCTTTCTTTAGGTAAATGAATAAACTGTGGTACATCCAGACAACGGAGTATTGTTGAGCACTAAAAAGAAATGAGCTATTAGCCATGAAAAGACATGGAGGAACCTTAAATGCATATTACTAAGTGAAAGAAACCAGTCTGAAAAGGCTGCACATTGTATGATTCCAATTCTATGACATTCTGGAAAAGGCAGTCCTATGGAGACAATAAAAAGATCAGTGGTTGGCAGGGCTTGAGGTCTGGCGAGGGACGAATAGGTGAGCACAGATGATTTTTAGGGCAGTGAAACTGTTCTGTACGATACTGTCATGCTGGATTTGTGTCATTATGCGTATGTCCAAACCCAGAGAATGTGCAAAACCAAGAGTGAGCCCTAATGTAAACTATGAACTTTGGGTGATTATGATGTGTCAATGTAGGTTCCTCAACTGTAACAAATGTGGTGGGTGTTGATAATGGGGAAGGCTGGGTATGTGTGGGGCAGAGGGTACAAAGGAAATCTCTGTACCTTCCTCTTAATTTTGTTGTCAATGTAAAACTGCTCTGAAAAGAAAAGTCTTCATAAAGAAAAAATAAAAGAAATAAAACAGAAACAAACAATAAAAATCTTTTTTTCTCCGAGGAAGTGGAGCGCACTTTCAGGCAGGGTGTAGCATTACCCTTTACCTCCCTCTGAGCCTTGAAGTGAGGGGGCATTCAGGACCCAGCCGGGAGGATGCACCTGGCTGGAAGGAAGTTGCCTGGCCACTTTCCTATGGTGCAGGTGTCCCTGCTGTCTGGGCCTGCACTGTGCAACACAGCAGCTACTAGCCACGTGGCGTTATTTAAATCAGAATTAATAGAAATAAAAACCAAGGGCTGGCCCGGTGATGCAGCGGTTTTGAGTTTGCACGTTCCGCTTCTCAGTGGCCCTGGGTTCGCCTGTTCAGATCCCAGGTGCGGACAGGACACCGCTTGGCACGCCATGCTGTGGTAGGTGTCCCACATATAAAGTAGAGGAAGATGGGCACGGATGTTAGCTCAGGGCCAGTCTTCCTCAGCAAAAAGAGGAGGATTGGCAGCAGTTAGCTCAGGGCTAATCTTCCTCAAAATAAATAAAATAAATAAATAAATAAAAATTCAGTTTGCACTAGCCTCATTTCAAGTGCTCAACAGCATATGTGGCCAATGGCTACCGTATTGCACAGCACAAACGTAGAACATTTCCATCATCTCAGAAAGTTCTACTGGATAGGACTGCTCTAGACTCCAGGCAGCCCCAGAGACTCACCTGGGGGTGGAGTAAAATCGCAAATTGAGAATGCCTGTGGTCCGGGACCCTCAGTTGCAGATCCCGAATGATCTGTGAGCAACGGATACTGTTTCCACATCGACAATTTCAAAAGCTGGAGGCCAGTGCTAGGGCCGGGGCTGGAGAGAGCTGGCGAGGCGTGCTAACTGAATCAGTGCTTGAAGAGCAACTTCTCTTTTGCAATCCTTGCTGGTCTGACAGGCTCCTGCCGAATTACATCACTTCCTAAAAAACAGGCAAACACCTCTCCTTCAAGTTAGCACCGACCCAAACAAGCAGGAAACAGGAAATGTTCACGTTTCAGGGAGGCTGAAAGCCGGCGCAGCATCACGCCGGAGCAGCGAGCGCCCAGGCCCGCTGACATGAAGGCTCCTCGCGCCGCCCTGGTCCTTGCCCTGGCGATCGCGCTCCTTCCCACCCGCCCGGCTCAGGGTAAGCTCCCTCCAGGCTTTCCACTCCAGGGAAGGAGGAGAATGAAGGCTTGGTTGGTGCCCGAGGCTACAGAACTCTGCCGGGGAGGGGAACACCCAGAAAAATCTAATCCTTTCTACGAAAGTAGTGGAGAAAATTAGAGCTGTCTTTTTGGGGGAGGGTGGGGCGGGAGGGTGGACGTGGCTTTCCCTGCAGTTGGCTGCCGGCGCTCCAGCGCGCTCCCTTAATTTAACCTTCCTGCAATCTTTGTCTTCTAAGATACGTGGGTCCCTGTAATTTACAAACTTTAATGGCATATTAAGAAAACCGTAAACTCTTTGGCAGTTCGTGTGAAAGAACGTTTCAATCAGCTGAAACAGAGCAATAATGAATTTGCTTTTAATAATATGGGCTGAGAAGTCTGCCCGGTTCCAAAAACTCTTGGAAAAACTGGGGTGTGGAAATTTACTACTGGAAAGTATACTAAAGAAAAACTGTAAGTTAAAAAGGAAATTGTAAACAGGAAATTATCTGAGGAGTTACGAGGCATCCACTCTAACTTAGCAAGAGAGATCTTTCCTCTGCTTTTCTTTGATCTCCTTACTTTAGAGAACAGTTTCTTTTCATTGATTGTTACTAATGAAGCTTTGTTGAAAGAAGTAATGTGACTGTAGCAAATGAAAGGTATTGGAAAAGAAGAAATATTAGATCTCATTATTTTGAGCTAAGAGCAGTAAGCGGTTTATACCCTTGACCATGGCTTCAACAAGCACAATCAGCCTCAATTGCCTCTTACATTTTGTTGACTTGCCCTTTGGTGAATAAACTCGCTGGCCATGGATACTCTCTGCTTCTAGTATAGGGCCGTGTTAGCAAAAGGAAAGTTCTCAAGCCACAGTTCTTTAAATAGGATGGGGGGCATACGGCTCTGACCTAACAGATGTGGCAACTTCCTGGAGATTAGCAGTCAGCACCCAACCACCCCCACCCACAAAATTCTCTTTCCCTGGATGCTCTCCACATGGTCTCTCCAGCATCTGAGGTGGAAAACGGAAAGTGATGGGTGAACCATTCCAACTAGTTCGGTTAAAATTGAGGTTAGTGTTCAAAATGAGTTTGGGGGACAAAGTGTTGTTTTGTGCACAAAGTTTTGGAGCTGGAAGGGAGCTTTAAAGTGATGCAGCTCGAGCCTTACGAGGGAGACAGGTGACGAAACAGAGGCAGAGGAAGGTGAGATGTCTGAGTGTCCCCGCTCTTCTGACTTGGACTCCAGGGGACCGACCACACTCCCTGCCAAGACCTCTGTACCTGACTCCTTTCCCCAAAGGGCATCCCTTGGCGCCAGAGGCAGCGGAGCCTAACCATCCCCCTGCCACCTCTCTTAGCTTTCGCAACACTACCGCACGTGCCTCAAACACGCCCCTGAGGGTAATATTTAACCTTGCCTGAGTATTTGCTTGAGCTTCTGAAAAATGATTGAATCCAGTGTCTGCAGTTAGATGATGCAAAAGGAAAATCTGAAGAGACTCGGTAAGAGTTGTCTTTCTGATGCCTGTGTCTGATCATGTGACTCTCCACTTAGAGACCTTCCTTCGGATGTTCCTCATTTAGGCCCCTTAGTCTCTCACTTCTATCTCCCTTCCAGTGGCTCCTCCGTCCATGCACCTTCCCACTCCCCAGCCACGGCCCCCTCTAGTCGCACTGAATGGAGCATGTGCTCCGGGCCTCTGTGAAGTGAATAAGTTCTCTTTTTTCTACTTAGTGAACTCCTGTACGACTTTAAAAGACTCAGATCGAGCAATACTTCCTCCTTGATGTTTCCTCTTACTCCCCCTTTCGTGGTGCCCTGCACTTACCCCCTGTTCTGCCCCTAGAGACCTAAATTTCTGTGAACACAGCTCATCGCTTCGAACCATAATTGTGCCTATGTCTACATCTCTGACCAGGCTGTGATCACCTCCAGGGAAAGTCGTCTTCAGTTCCTCTTGGACTTTCCAAAGCCCTGTAAAAGGTTAGCAAAAAACTCAATAACTGCTCATAAATACTAAAATCATCCTAGAATGCGTAAGAAGCTGATCACTAAAAACTGATGAACTCCTGACAACAGGTAGAGTTAGAATGTCAGGAGCGGTCAAAGACGAAATGCCGTGTTTAAGTCAAAGACAGAAAGCTGCGTTTCAGTAGAGCGCAGGATTATGGAGGTAACCCAACCCACTTCCTGGGCCCTGCCTGGATTCCCCATGTCTGAAAATGCAAAACTGCCCATTACAAAAAGCCATATAATCAAAGCTTTTTAGAGAGTAGTCAATAGAAAGTCTGTTCTAAAGACCAAATGTATTAATCTTTTTTTTTTTTTTAGGAAGATTATCCCTGAGCTAACATCTGCCGCCAATCCTCCTCTTTTTGCAGAGGAAGACTGGCCCTGAGCTAACATCTATGCCCATCTTCCTCTACTTTATATGTGGGATGCCTGCCCCAGCATGGTTTGATAAGCGGTGCATAGGTCCGCACCCAGGATCCAAACCGGCAAACCCTGGGCCACCAAAGTGGAATGTGTGAACTTAACCGCTGTGCAACCAGGCCAGCCCCCCAAATGTATATTTTTTAATGAATTAATGTATATCCTTTTGAGCTAATGGTGCCTAGGACTTCAAAATGTGAGTTAGTTTATAGGTGTCACACTTGTATTTCCTTGAATTCTTCAAAAAATATGTTGGAGGGGCCGGCCTGGTGGCACAGCAGTTAAGTTTGCATGCTCTGCTTCAGCAGCCCAGGGTTCGCCAGTTCAGATCCTGGGTGCAGACATGGCACCGCTTGGCAAGCTGTGCTGTGGCAGGCGTCCCACGTATAAAGTGGAGGAAGATGGGCACGGATGTTAGCTCAGGGCCCGTCTTCCTCAGCAAAAAGAGGAGGATTGGCAGCAGATGTTAGCTCGAGGCTAATCTTCCTCAAAAAAAAGAAAATATCTTGGAGACGTTTGGTAGAAGAATCTAACCGACTGAGCAGCCCAACTCTCTCCCTTGCAGGCATATTCCAGGATATATCGCAAATCAAGCATTTATTAACCACAAATGGGCTGCATTGTCTAACCCTGCAGTTGCCCGGACCAGCAGCTTTACCTCTGAGTCAGCATCTTTTCTCTTTGTGTAGATAGAGAGCCTGACGCAGAATTGATTACTATCCCAAGTGAAAGCAACCACTTAGACATCACCGGGAGAGAAATGAGAAAACAGCTTTTCTGGGATTTTGACCAAACAGATGAGCATAGTTACAGAAGACTCGGGGCCTGAGTATCGTGGCTGTGTGGGATGCTAAGAAGGTCAGAGTCAAGGCGACATTCTGCCCCTGGAGGGAAGGGAGGCGTCTCCACCTGGTTCTTCAGACTGTGCCCTGCCAACGTCAGCTTAACACTATCAGAAAGCTGAAAGCAACCTCCCAGATCCCAAAAGCATGAGATTTATTAGCTGCCACAGGCAGGATGGTTTGTAGAAAGGAGAGCTAAAGGGCATGAGGCAGAAACAAGGAGGCTGTAACAGTTTTGGTGGCCAGAGTCGTCAAATGTTGGGTTTGCCAGGAGGTGTGAGAGGTTTGCTGGGCTGTTTCAGAAGAGTAAGAACCAAATAATTATTGGATGAATCTTGCAAAGGAGAGAAATAATAGAAGAAAATACGAGGTGCGTCAGAGAAGTTGCACTTTCTGACACTGTTCTTGTTTCAATGAATGTGACTGCCATCTGCTATTTCCCGGGAAAGTCTCAATTTCAACTAGTAATAATGATGATGGCAAACATATACAGTGCTCATTATATGCCAGGCATTGTTCTAAACACTTTACATATGCTAACTCATTTAATTCTCATAACAACCTTATACAGTGGGTACTACTACCCCTGTTTTAAATATGATAAAACTGAGGCACAGAGAGGTTGAGTGACTTGCCCAAGGTCACACAGCTAAGTAGTAGATCTAAGTAAGTTTCAGCCTCAGGATTTCGTGCTCTAAGCATACGCTCTATTACTTCTGGGTTTTCGGGCTCTGCCGGGCTGTATGTCTACTTTCAGGTTTGGAACAATATAGCTCTGGTGCCTTCTCAACTGTAGATGTAACACGTAAGGTCTTGGCCAGGCTCTAAGGTTACCATGTGTTAATAAAAGAGCTGTGTTTGGTTGGTTGGGTCAGAGACTGGCTGACAGGAAAATGAATGGTGAGAATTGGGTTAAACTTCAGCCTGCAGAGTGGGAAGTGGGGGGGAGGGGAGCCGCTGAAAGGTGCAGAGTGAGCAACAGAGAATCTGAGGATTAGCATAATTAATACCAGAAGCAGGAAAAACAGAACGTTGAAGTCGCTCAGCAAGAGGCTTGAGGGTGTGGGAACCAGGGAGAGACGGCGCAGCCTTCTGTCAGGCAGAGTCGCTGTGGGAGAGCTCTGCTGAGAACTGACCCCAGGACCAAACACCAAAAAAACAAGCCGAGAGGGACTTACTGAGGCTTAAGTCCCTCTTTGTCTGAAAGGCTGACCCAGGAAACCAGAAGAGGGCAGGGGCTTGGCTGGGATCAGCTCAATTCTGTAAAGAAACAATGCAACCCGCAATTTGCCTACCTGTGTCTGGTTTGCACCACCCTCAAATGTTGGCAAAGACGTGGAGAAACCGGAACTGGGCGCCGCTGGGGGGATGGCAGGTTAATGCAATCGTCTCGTCTATCCTGCTGCAGAGCCCATCTGTTGGGCTTTTCCTTTCCGTTGTCACATTTTTCATTTCTAGAAAATATTTTTTTCATTTCTGGAAAATCCTTTTGTATGTTTATATAGTGTCTTGGTTTTATTTTTTTTCTTGTGTTCTTCTTTTACTTCTTTATTTTAAACATATTACTGTCTATTTGATACCTTTAATCTGAAGTTTATGTAGATCTTATCCTGTTGCTCATTGCATCTGTGGGCTCCTGTTCATGAGGGAAATCCTGGGGGCACTGAGGGCAGAATCTGGCACACAGAGGCTGGCTCACCCTGTTTAACAGAACCCCAAATTTTCTGATCCCATCATCAAGCTACTGTAAATACTTTCCCAATACACCCTCAGTGCCATCGCCACAAAATAGCATTTGGAAGAGACTCAGACAGGGATGTGCCGGCTTGAGGAGAACCGGTGCTTGGACCCCCCCCCCCCCAGCCTTGGGATGGGGAAGGGGCCGCCTCAGGGGTCAGCCTCCAAGAGTTGAATGAAGACGTGCCGAAACCTCCTTAAAGGTACAAGCCAGCAACCCAGAGTCAGCAGTGGGGCCAAGGTGGTAAACAGAAGCAGGTAACCAAGGAGACCAAAGTGATTGCCAAGGAGAAAGAAGTAGACAAAACAAAATTCAGAATCTGAGGAGGGGCCAGGGGCCGGCTGTCAGGATGATAGTGAGATCAGCTGGGGTTAGTGCACCTGACTTTGACTTTAAACTTTGCCAAAGACATTGCAACTGCTTTTCTTTCTCCCTCTCTCTCTGTCTCTCTCTGTCTCTGTCTCTGTCTGTCTCTCTCTCTCTATGGCCTTGTATTTTAGCTTTAACTTTTGACCCAATAGATGGACGGGAGCCCCTGAAAGCATTATACAGCCTCGTACATTCCTAAAGGTCCAAAGCTTTGTTCTCGGGAATCCCCATAGGAATATACAGTTCTGAATTTGAATTTCCTCTACAATCTTTTTTTTTTTTTTTTTTTCATATTTTCGGCCCTAGGGATTTCCTTGTTTTCTTGAGATTTCTTTTTTTTTTTTTAAGATTTTATTTTTTTTTCCTTTTTCTCCCCAAAGCCCCCCGGTACATAGTTGTATATTCTTCGTTGTGGGTCCTTCTAGTTGTGGTATGTGGGACGCTGCCTCAGCGTGGTTTGATGAGCAGTGCCATGTCCGCGCCCAGGATTCGAACTAACGAAACACTGGGCCGCCTGCAGCGGAGTGCGCAAACTTAACCACTCAGCCACGGGGCCAGCCCCTCTTGAGATTTCTTTATACATTTAAAAAATTACTTCTTATATGTCATCCAGTATTTCTAGATGTTGCATATTGGGAGAATTTTAGAGGTTACCAACTATACCAGATTACTAGAAAAGGGAATTTTTCCAGACAACCATTCTGAAGAACCATTTGGAAATATTTAGTCAAATGAAGACGTTCATACCCTCCAACCCCAACAATTTACTCCTAGGTGTACACCCCAGATCACTCACAAACGTGCAGCCACGTATCGCGGCCAAGAGTGTTGATTGTAGCATTGTTTGCCAAAATGGAAAAAATACAAACAACCTAAATGTCCATTAGCAGAAGAAAAACACCTGAAACTTGGTGTAGGCATAGTATAAGATATCATAGAACAGGTAAGATTAATGAACTAGAGCCAAATGTATCAAGATGAATCAGTCTCAAATGTGATGTTGACCAAAAAAGCCAGCTGAAGATTATTATGCACAGAATAATTACATTAGCTAAAGTTTTTAAGACACTTCAAATTCTGCTGATATTGATTAGGGCCATAGGCGGGATGATCCGTGCTAAGTTAGGAGAGCAGTTACTTTTGGGGAGGCAGAGAGAGCAGAGATCAAGGAGAGATGTAAGGAGGGCTTCAACCATGTCTATCATGTCGTTTCTTTCAGAAAAGACATGGAATCCAAGGGTCAGCAAGCTAAGACCCATGAGCCGAACTCAGCCAGCTTCCTGTTTTTTCCAACTCTTGAGCTGAGAACAGTTTTTACATTTTTAAATGGTTATATTTTAATGCTTATATAAGAACTTATATAATAGCCTATATTTTGCCTCTTGGCCCACAAGATCTAAAATACTTACCCTCTGGCCCTTTAAGAAAGAGATTGCCAATGCCTGCTCTAGTCAGCATGGGAAAATGTAGGACAATTAGTGGTGGGTACCCTGTTATTTGTTACATTATCCTCTATTCTTTTCGGTAGGTATACATTCATAATGAAAAATAATGAGAGAGCCTGTGAGTTCCGTTCCAGCTCTCCGGAGTCTGCCTCCAGC